GGCACTGCTGGGGAAGATCAGGACCAATGGACACAAACTCCTGGAAGGCCACTTCAGGCCCAATTCCAGGAAAAACTCCGTCACAATCAGGGTGTCCAGACTGTGGAATAAGCTCCCTCCAGAGGTGGTGCGATCACCTACCCTGGAAATCTTCAAGAGGAGACTGGACAGTCACCTTGCTGAGGTCACTTGACCCCAGTTGTCTTTTTCTGCCTAGTCCAAGGGGACTGGACCCAATGAACTATGAGGTCCCTTCCAGCCCCTAACAAGCTATGAATCTATTAAACAATTTTAACTTCACCTCATACTGGCATCAAGATGAGAAGATAAATGGAAAGACCTGTCTCCCCCCGACTCCCGCCCTCAATGTATCTTTAAAATTAGTTTCATCTAACCTGGGGATACCCACACTAAAATACTTTAATACTAAACATATGCTTATTAAATCACATAACTGGATGATGGAATTAAACTTGTTTGAGTGTGCTAACTGTGCATTTCCATACCATCAGATAATTAGATTTATTTTAGCTCTGAATTCCCTAATTTTCTAACACTTGTTGCTGGAATAATTATAACATTTATGTAATAGTCTTACCCTTAACTTACTGATATGTAATGTTATCCAGAGTTGCGCAAAACTTGTATAATATTTTGACCAAAATATATGGTTTGGGGCTGACCAAAAATGAGTGAATTAGTATCAAATTAAGCAAATAGTTTTTGCAGATTTAAAAAAAAAAGATTTCATTGCAATGTTTTCAAATCAAACCATTTTGATTTTTATTTAATTTTTTTCAATATTTTCCTAAATTTTATGTATTTTTTAAATGGTTAAAAACTCAAAGAAAAACTAAAAATAGTTCTTGAGGGGACAAATGAAATGCTGTTGTTGACCTTTTTTTTTTTTAATTTCTCTCTTTTCAAACCCCCTCCTTACCCCCTAAAAAATCTTTTTTAGCCATCTGAAGTGACATTTTGGTTTTACCCAGGGTACCCTTAGGGAAAACCAGGAGTTTGTGGCCATTACTCCTGGAAGACCATTTCAGGCTTAACACTAGGAAAAACTTCTTCACAGTTAAAGTGTCCAGACCATGGAATAAGCTCCCTCCAGAGGTCGTGCGATCACCTACCCTGGAAATCTTCAAGAGGAGACTGGGCAGCCACCTTGCTGGGGTCACCTGACCCCAGTTGTCTTTCCTCTCTAGTGCAGGGGGGTGGACCCAATGTTCTTGCAAGGTCCCTTCCAGCCCCTTACAACCTATGAATCTATAAATCAATTAAATGAAAAAATCAATTATTTGCACAGCTCTACTCTTAGTCTTCACTTGAGTTACCCTCTTTATCCAACAATAAGAAACTGAGGTCCTTAAAAAAAAAACACAAAACACTCAACAGGGGTAAAAAGTAACTGAAATATTACAATTTTCCAGAATTATTCTACCAGTCAAATAGAAAGTCAAATATATAACTGCATATCAGAATCAAATTCTTCTCTATTAAAATTTCATTTGTTTCCCTCAAGCAGAAACTTGAAACGTTGATATTAAAGCTGAATTAAATGTATTAGTCATTATGTGCATGGATAAGTTGTATTCTACACAGACAAAGATGGCTTTAAGACACCTGGGGTGTTTATTAGAGCTGTGCAAAGCTTTGGGTGCTGATTTGATTTGGAGGAGATTTGGCCTGATTCAGTGGCTAAATCTCCAAACCTAAATCAAATCAGGGGACCAATTAAAAGGTCTGAATTGATTCGAAGCTCTCCAAATTGAATCAGAAAAGATTCGTAGAGCTTCGGCGATTCGGGCAGTCCCCACTTGCTGCAGCAGGGAGTTGGACCCGGACTCCATGTTTGTAAGTAAGGGGTGGGGGGCGGGGCTGGAGGAGGGGGAGAGGTCCATGGGGGGGACCCCTGCCAGGCCCCATTACCTGCTTGCTTCTGCAGCCCCCCTGAGTGCCCTCTGACCCCCGCCCACTCTCCCAGCACAGCCCCTCCATGGCTGCCCTGCCTCCTGGCTCTTTAAAAAAAAGCCCCCCACTCACTAGCTGCTGCCAGGCAGGGGGGAAATCCCCACTGCTCCCCTCTGCCATAAGCCCCCCTACCCATGGTACACCCCCCCACTGTCCCAGCCCCTGCCCTACGGC